CCCCAAAACCCCAAAACCCCAAGTGGCCCATTCATTAGCATATGATTAAAATTAAAAAAGAATTAATTAGATTTAAGGAATTTCATTAATTAAATGAGTGCATAAGAGGAAAATAATTCAATAGCCGATCATTATTCATATTCAAACGCATATTTTGAAAACACATCAAACAATACATTTATGGACCATAGCAAATTCAAAAATCTAAGTTAGATTTTTCAGATCAATACATTTACATCTGGAGTAGTTATGCGCTCATTAATTTAAAAGTTTCTCAATTAAAAATTCAGTCGTTAACATCCTCCTTCAAACATTTCAACGAATTAAGTGGTTAATAAGATAAATGGGTCAACCAATATAGGCCGGAAAAACCCACCCATAAAGAAAAATAGTAATAAATAGATGACATTATCTTAGTAAATGAATAAAAAGCTTAAGTAAAAGCCAATATTATCTTTGAATGCAACTCAAAGTATGCACTTTCCAGTAAAGAAAGGTTAAGATCAAGCAAATAATAATCAAAGAAGCATAGTTTTTATGAAACGTAGGGTGCATAGCTTGGGTGAAGAGTCTCAAATCTTATAGGAACCTTCTGTAGTATTCGATGCATAAAGAAATTCCAAATAATCACTTCTAAATACCAGAAATAAGATTATGGCTGCAAAAGCATTCGAAAAAATTAGCAATTAGGATTTGTTAAGCAAGAGCTAAATGGAAAAATCAAATTTAAATCAAACTCAATAGCAATTTTTATCTCTTTAACCCATACAGCTTGGAGTAAAAGAGAAAATAGACTCCAATCAGATCACCCAAAATTTATTGAAAGTAGGTTAGAGCATTCTAAAAGATGCAAATAAGGACATCTCAGAATTATCGCAGATAAAGTAACAGCCATAGAATAGTTAGAAATAATAATAAATTAGGCGAATAAATCATAAATTAAGAGCTACGAACTATTAGAATTTTCATAAGAATAATTGAAGTGAAAATTTGAATATCCAAATTTAAGAAATTACACCAGCAGCCTCTCCTCAAGCTAAAATTTAAAATACAGAATTCAGTGCATAAATTTCAACCATGAACTCTATCAAGCTGAGTATCCCAAAACCACAATCAAGAATGAGCAATAACACCTACTTATGTACACCATAAAATTTAGAAAATTCTAGCATTGACTAGAATAAAATAAGTAACTTATTAAAGTCGAAGTTTAAAAAAAAGTTGTATACAACATTTCATAACACTTGCTAATCATTTGAATAATTATAGTTAAATAAGGCCATAGATAAAATGCTTAAAAATGAAATAAAAGTTGGAGATTTTTTCCAGGCTAAAAATAAGCATGATAACTTTAAGTAACATAACTCTCATTCTATATCTCCAGAAAACATTTAATACTCAATGTTTTAGCCATTAGATACAATGAGCTAATCCAAAAAAAGTTTTCCAAATGAATAATAATATAGATTTAGTCAGTTTATAGGAGCATGCAAGAGTTAATTGGAGAAACGATATTTTTAGGTCAATGAAAAAATATTTAACACTTAGTTTGAATCCTCTTCAAATCTCGGAACAGGAGAATAGATATAGGAGGAATTTCAATGAGACAAGTGTCGTAGTATGATGAGCAATATAAATTAGCTAAGATAAAAATATGAGCAGCCAACTGAGAAATAACAAATTCAATTTTAGAAAAGCAAGGACTACATTTAGCATATCAATTAAGTGATCAATGAGGTGTAATAAATTTCTAGAAATATAGAAGATAAAGTTGATACGATGAATCTAAAGGAATAATAGGATAAATTATTCTAAAATTATGAAGATTCTATCAAGTAATAAAATGATTAAGTAGGGAAGAAGAGACGAGAAAGGAAAGTACTTATTGATCAAATTAAAGCAATTAAGATCACTAAGTTAGACATTATAGACTAATTTAAGACTGAAAATCTTAATATAATTAAGCTGTAAATTTTCAATTAGCAATAACATCTTGAATTATAGTGGGTTTGATTAAGTGGTAGATTAAGTAAGTTTGTGGTCTAAGGATAGAGGAACACTTATTTAAAAACTTTGGAAAAGCTTTAAGAAACAGCTTATTGAAAACCTTGTTCAATATCTAAATCATCAAAAAATCATGCAGCATGAATTGATTTAAACTGTTGATGATACTCTTCAGATAGTTGAGGAGTAATCTCAAAAGCTGATGGAATCTCTGACCAACTAGAAAAAAATAGAATTTTAACATTAGCAGCTGAAAGAAGTTTTTGCTACTTGCGCTAATTTATTTCACTAAGAAGAGGATAAAAATACTTAATTAAGAGAACGAGTAAAAGATTTAGAGAGGTTGATAAAGCTTTGGCTTCCTAATATTGAGTCATACAACTTTAGTCCTGAGATAATAGTAAGTTTTATATCTAATTCATTCACTAAATATAGATTAGATTAAGACATACCTAAGGTAAGGGCAAAGTTTGGGGAATGTCGAATGATTTGGTGGGAGATCTTCAACTTAGAGATCAAATGATGGATAGACTAAATCCATAATAATTCTGGGTCAAAAGTGATATTGAGAGACTAATTCAAGGATCTTTAGTCGTTACAAATGATAAAGTAAATTTGAATTGTTGTAAACTATCATAGATTGAATGTGAACGACTAAATTAGGAGCTGGTTAAGTTGAATTCAGTATTGCATAACAAAAGACTCAAATGTAAGGAGTTGAAAATGGATCTCAGCAAATAAAAAAGAAATATGGAGCTTCTTGTGGAAGATCTTGAAAATGAAAAAATAAAGAACTTGGATTTTCAGGTTATCAGACATAAATTAACTAAAATGATGACAATAGAGAAAAAAGAAAAATAGCTTTAGTGTGATCTTGGTGGAAGTGGTCCAGTTGTTAAGGCTAAGCAAGGAGAAGATAAAAATAAGATTAGGAAAGTACTGACACTTAACAACCTTACACATGTAGGAAGCAATACTAACTCTCCTAGGAAATCTAATGGCATTCCTATTGATTAGATAATGGCTAAAGTTATTCAAAAGCATGGATTAGCTACAAATATGTCTATAATTGATCAGCATGCTTAAGAAAGTAAATAAATTTTAAATAATCATAGGAGAAATTCATCGTTAAAAACAATTATACCAAAGTCACCCACAAAGTAGCCTGAATTTGTGATGAATTAGATATAAGAGCTAAAACAAGAACCTCTCCCAATATATTATAAAGAAAAAGCGTAATAGCTGCTTTAAGTTATATCAAGTATGATGAGTAAACTTGTAGTATAGCCTTACAGACACATCAAAGATCTATTCTTAGAGGAAATTCTGGCAATCAATTCTAATCCATAGAAAGCTAGTGAGATAGCTGAGGAATTTTGCAGAATTATCCTTGAGGTGCATAATAAAGATTCTAGAATCAAGCTTTTGAAGTAATTTTTAGGGCTTGGAGAGTAGAGTTAATTTACCTAGCCAGTTGGCCAAGGTTTAGTTAATCTTCTATAAGATACTAATTTGGCTTTTGATGATATTTTCACAGGGGAGATTTAGCAACTAGGGATAGATTTGGAATAAGGAATAAATATGATTAAATCTAGGGTAAAAAATAAGCTAAGTTCAAATACTCAGGTTAAGATAATCAATAAGTCAATTGAAAATATCATTTAATAGAGCTAAGTTTATGTAAAAGGGTAGGTGTAGAAGTTAAGCAATCCATAATATGTGCATGATTACAGGTTTATATAAGCTATTAATAAGGCTGAAAAAAAGTAAAATTAGGATGAGCCTTTCCATTCTCTACTTATAAAGAAAAATAGCAGAGTTGAAGTTGAAGATTTTATTGAATATCTCAATGAAGTTTTAAAGATAAATACTCTTGATTTTGTAAAAGACATCCATCTATTTTACAATTAATACCTGGATAAATCAAGAAGAGAATTTATTGGGGGATTTGAGTTGCATAATCTATTTGACATGAATATAAGAATCGAAATTCCATTGCTTGTTTTCATAAAAGAGACAACCAACTCAATTATTGAATTTGATAATGCTGTTAATTAAGAACTAGAGAAAATTTTCAATAAATTCAATGCTTCTTAGCCTTAATAAGAGAGAGGTCTTGCTATTTATACTTTCTAGTAAGCCATCAGATACATGATTGTAGCTTTGCCTCATGGAAGCTAGAAGGAAGCTAGTATAAGTTTAAAGGAAATTTGTGAATATGTAGATAAAAAAAAGAATAAAAAATTCATTTTAATTGAGGAGTTTCTACAATTATGCAAGGACTTTGAATTTTTTGAGACTTTAGAAGCTCTTAAAGTTTATAATGATTAGAATCTTAAGAAATTTCAAATAATGCAAAAGCAGTCTACAAACAATATACTCACTTTAAATACTAAAAATCCTGAAAAAAAGGTGAAAGTTACATCTTTGTATGCTGATTAAGCAAACGAAGGTAGAAATGGTGATAATAATGGAGCAATAGACCGAGGAAAATCATCTTCAAGAAAGCCAAGAAAACTTCTGAGGGGTAAATCTTACATCAATAATATATAAGAATCCAAACAAGATATTGCTTTAGAAGAAAAGCATACTGCCTCGGCAAGGAAAAGTTCCATGGCTGAAAAAGTAACATCAGAAATTAAATCAAATGAAAGCTCTAAAGAAAGGAATATTCCTACTCAAGATGGCTAAACACCTCAGATTATGATTAATAAAGATAAAGAGGAAAGTGAAAACAGCTTATCTCAATCAAAATCACCACAAACTATGAAAGCTACAGATTCAAATTAAAAAGAACGATCCATTGAAAAATTTGAGCTGCCTAGACCAAATTTATCTCCAGTATATTTAGATCTAGATTATATGAAGATCAATGTTAAAAATGTTGATGAAAATAGCGAGAAAAACTCAGTTCGATCATAGTTGAGTCACAAATTAAATGAGAGTAATAGCAGTATCAATTTAAAGAAAGACATTAAGAAAAACTTTATTACCCCAACCTTTAAGCTAAATAAAAAAAATAAACCCCCAATAGCGGTGGAAAAATCGGAGGGAAATCAATCTGCTCGATACAAAGTTATGAATTCATAGAATTCGAGATATCTATTGCAAAAGAGAATGAGCACGCCTTCCTCGAGCACAACATTAGTTGTGCACTAATCCCCTGTCATAAAACCTGGAATTATTCTCTCTTAAAAAGGAGAGGCTCTTTCCTTGTTTAAGAATATACCTATTGGAGGAAATCTAACTATTACAGGAAATAAAATTTGATATTAAATAAAGGAGATTATGAAATTTTATTATTCAAGAACTTAATTTATATTTGATTAATGGGGTTTTGGGGTTTTGGGGTTTTGGGG